TTTTTTGAAGAGATGAGGTTTCACTATGCTGGCCACGTTGGTCTCGAACTCTTGACCTCAAATGAGTTGCCCACCTTGGCCTCCCAATGTGCTCGTGCTGGGGTTACAGGCATGAGCCACCATGCCCAGCCCCAAGATAGACTTTTCTGATGTCACTATCAACCAGGACTTTCATCTCCCCCCTTTTTGTACTTGTGACTGCATAAGGCAAGGACATTTCTAGTAGGCGGTGGAAATCTATAACGATAAATCATCTCTACACACAAATCTAGACAACTAATAAATTTGCTCCTTAACCTTGGGCATAACATCTGTCCTATAATTTCTCTGTGAGAGAGAGAATAACTAAGGACCCTTGTTTATCTGTGATTTTTTTTTTAAGTCAAAGCACTGTAAAAGCATATTGAAGTACTCTATCTCTTATTATCCTCAGTTATAGCAGTACCTTTTCTAAACTTGTATTTATTTGGAAAATCTTCTCTTCAGTTCTCCTACTTACCTTGGTTGACTCTAACAATGATATTTTCTTCTTTTCAGGCTTTAAGAGTAAAGAATCTGTCCCCAAGCTTGTGTCTGACTATGGCTAAGAAGTTTTCACTGGATGCATTAATAACAAATGTCTTACCTTTTGAAAAAATAAATGAAGGATTTGACCTGCTTCGCTCTGGAAAGAGGTAGATTTTAAGTTGTTTTTTGTTGTTGTTTTGCTTTGTATTCTACAGTAGTGGGGTGTCTAGCAGAGAATGTAAACGTGGAAGGATGAGAAAAAATTAGTGCCTTGGTTTTCCATTGCCAGTTCAATCTTCGCATGGAGTACATGTAAGGTAATATGGTGAGAAGCTAAAAACCGTTACTTTACATTTCCTATTCTGCTGAAGTGAAATTATGTTGATTACCCCATATCTGAATGATTAGAGTCACTCAGCCTTCTTTAAAAAATAACACTCACTTTGGCCCCCACCCCCCAAAAAATAAGTTTTAACAACCATAATTATAACATGGATTCAGTGACACCTCTGCCTGTCATCTAAATAAGTGTGACATCTAATGGTTGTATATTAAAATTATTTTCAGGACATCCTCAGGATATTCATTATGGGAGTAGGTGGAACTACATTAGGATTGATTTCTAAGTAGATATTACTAGATTTTCCTTTTTCTTTTCTTTTTCCTTTTTTTTTTTTTTTTGCAGTTTAGAAAATAAATTTTACAAAGAAAAGTTGTTGTAAAAGGTACTAAACCCTATTTTAAATGTTTGTCTTACATTTTCTCCAAGTCTTAGAAAAATAAGCCAATTCTGTTTCCTATCTCTAACATTTACACTTACAATCACCTAATATAATGAACTTTGTCACATGCATTTATATGAAGCATAACTGGAAACAGGCAGTTATATCTAACCTCTGCCTTCTAGCTCCAGAGTCTGAGATTTTTCTGCTATCCAACATTTATTTTCATGAGGTTTTCAACTTTAAATAGTGTTTCTTTGGCACTCACAAAACTATCATACTAGATACTTTATCTGACAAATATTCTTGAGTAAGGAAGGAAACTAGCACCCACAGAGCGCCAGCTGTTCTACTAAGTGTCTTACCTGCATTTTCTCATGTGATTCGCAAACAATTCTCAGTGTCAGTCTCAATCTCACTATATTAGAGAAGAGAAAACTAAGAAGCAGAGAAGGCATGACTTGGTCAAAATCATCAGGTGGTAAGAAGAGGAGCCAGAATTCGAAGGAAGATCTTGTTAGCAAATCTATTCACTTTCTATTTAACCACACTGACCCTCAAGAGTGCATATATATATATATATATATATATATGGAAAACAGTATTCATCAAAGGTTAATTATCACTGTCAT